CATGTCGTTTCAAACCTCATTCATCTGCGGAACACAAATTAAGATATTTTTGATGGAATCTGAGAGCTGCTATCTGCTGGACGTAAAACAACGTATGCTGTTCTGTGTCAGCTGCACCACGCGGATACGCTGTTTCCGTTCAGATCAAATCACAACAATGTAGGAAACAGAACTGGCGTGACGCAGCTGACACAGAACAGCATACGTTGTTTTACGGCCAGCAGATACTCTTCAAAATGGCACAAGGGTGATGCGGAGGAGACGAATTGTTGAATAAAGTCGTTATTTTTTTTTCTTTTGCGCACAAAAAGTATTCTCGTAGCTTCGTAAAATTGCGGATGAACCACTGATGTCACATGGATTATTTTTAGTGATCGACCGATATTGATATTTTATAACCGATACCGATACCAATTATTTACGTGTTTATGTGCCCGATAACTGATACGCAGAACCGATATTTATTTACTGTTATAAAGTAAATAAATGACTGAGTGAAGTAAGTCCATACTTTGGTTTTTCTTCCTTTCAGCCATCTTAAAAAAAAAAAAAGTGTAGAAAATTACCAGTCTTTCATGTTAAATTGAATCTTCATATTACAATAAAAACACATTTTATTTAAAGCATCAGCAGCAACACTAATATTAACAATAAGCAAAATAAATATAGGTCTAATGTTTTCAAATGGAGAAAATAAATAAATGAAAGGAGTCATATCAACTTCATTTTAAACTACAGTTTTAGTAGGTTTATAAGCGGTTTAATAGGCTAAAGAGTGAAGAATAATTCACTGAATGATGTTAATTAACTGAATAATATTCTCTGGAATATTGAAATATAACAAACAAAACCTTGTATTTTATTGCATTTATCAACTGGCATGTTATATCAGAATTACTAATAATGTTTTTGTCGTTCTAGATTATGAAATGCCTGCTGACAGCGCAGTTTATCTATGCATTTACACAGAACTATACTCAAACTGCGATCGCTCGCGGAGATAATAAATTAGTTTCCATAGA